TCAAATGCTTGCTGAAAGAGTTGACAGCTTTGTGTAATGATATAAATATGAGTGGGGCATCAGGCATGGCCGAATGAGTTTATGAGAACGTAATGGGCTAATTTCAGTGGCCCTAGCACACTTGCGCACAAGTTCACATAAATAAACGATTCCAAATGAGTTTCTAAAAGCAACTAAATCGGAAAAAAATTTTTGGAGAGCAATCCACATTCAAGTATGAAACGAATTCAAATTCTCATAACGATCTGCTGAAGATTCTATAAAGAACGATTCGCCAACGTCAACAACCGCAAAAGTCTGATCTCTGACCGGATCAAGCCACTGGGGCAGAGTCGGAGGCTGAACGCATGCTCGCGCTTCTGTATTGTATTTTTGCGTAAGTTTATTGCATATTCACAGGATGTGAATTTATGGTTAGAGTAGCTACATATGCATTAGGTAACTCAATTGGGACAACATCTTGAGGGTTGCAATTTTTTTAATTGGTTGCGAAACTTTTTTTATTATTTTGTTTGTTTTGTTATTATTAATTATTCTTGCAATCAATACAAATAAAGTCCTATCATGTTTCTTTATGTTTATAAACTTGTAGGGTAAGAGCTATCCAGAGAGGCATCTTCCAGGTCGAGAAACGTGGCGACCATACGCCATCCCCGGATATTGAACTACACACATCTACAGTAACAGCTCAGTAAAGGCATATTTAACACAACTGATGTTTCCAAAAATGTACTTTATTTCGACTAATATTTCCAAATAGTTAGTCTATTGCAAAAGTGTGTAATATTGTCAAACCTTTTCCAGTTAAGTACAGTGAGCAATGTGCTAGTTAATTGATCTGACATAATCTATAAGGAAATAATTCACTTTGGTCATAAGAGCAGCCAAAGAACAATATCATAGAAACAGAGCATTTTTGTGTTTTGGTATGAACCAATCTACTTTGATAATTTAAGTACTTACGTGATAACATGCAGTAGGAATTGTAGGTTACAAAGTCCGGGTATTACTACAGTATTTTATGACGTCTTTGGATTTACAACATCAGTAATCACAGTTTATTTTCGGTAAAGGAAACCCCTTATACACTTACGTAAATTCTCAATAGATATCTAATGATAACCGCAATGCTATATTGGTATATTATGATTACCAAGAGAGAATTTTCATATTAACCATACCGTTGACGATTGTAGACGACCAGAACAGGTGCTCTGTGACCGACATTCTCTCCTGGCGTGCACAATATACAGTGTGTCTTTGAAATACCGCCTTATTTACCTATTTTCAGTTTCAAGTACTTACCTACACAAACGCAAAGCAGGTCAAGTTTATTTTCAAGACTGGTCCTCATAATGGGTAAAGGTACCCAGGTGTGTAAACCACTGGGCGCCTGGATCACCATTATTGACCATTTGCATTATTGTTAGGTACCTACAAAAAATAACTAAATTCGTAGGTATGGAAGGTCTTAATTATTAGGGCATGCCGCCTAGAACGCATTCAAAATGTATGCTACACAGGGCCCTGCAACAATGCATCGGTCTTTCCTAACGCATACCTGGTAAAAATATCGACAAGCCTTTTGTGCAAATGTTAACCATAGATGGTCGCGCATCTACAGAAATTATTTTTGAATTTACAGGGTGTCCCATTTTTACGGTGTCAATAGACAACTGATTTTTTTAACATCTCGGATATTTTTAGTTGTTTCGATGTCATTTTTTAACTTCCTTTTTCGTATCTCGCCAAATAAGAGATATCTCTCTTATCGCAAATGCACTGTATATAATACGGACTTCTTAGCGCATTTTGAAGTCCGCACTTTGTCCGTCTGTACCACTACTAGTCCTTGTTGTGGTTTCTTTCTTATGCGGTGTAGTAGTACAGCCCAGAGACCAGAACGATAAACGTTTATTTGGATTGGTCACTTGCTTCCCGAGTTATTACTGATTCTGTGCGGGGAAAATGCGTTTGGGTCGGTCGCCAGTGACACGTTTTTAACTTGTTCTACCTTCCTGCGCTTTCGCGCCGCTCCCGCTCCCGCTACCACCGTACCGCGTTAGTATGGGGATCCCAAGGATACTATATAATATAAGGATTGCTCGATCCCTATACTTGTAATGTTGCCCGAGTTTAAGTCATATGTGACGTCACCAACGGACCTGGCTGTCAGAATTGACAGTTATAATTTGCTAAGTTGTCAACGTTTTTGCATTAGCGTTATAACTGTGTGTATGTGTTCGCTATATTGCAACAAAAATGCTTGAACGCCGGCGTGCAGTATTGGACTATAATAACAATTTGGGGTAGTATTCACATTTTACACTCAACTGGCTCTCATTTTAGCCAGTGTCAAGAAGAACGTCGAGAAATCGTTATTTTAAGATGGACAAAGTTGAAATAAACTGATTTAGCTGCAATTTCCATGGATGATGAAGAGTAAAAAAACCAAAAACGCAGGATGAAATGGGTTCACGATATTTTGAGTATGCGAAAAACCGAAGGAGAATTTGTAGACGATGAATTACAAGTGTTTCTAATATAAATACCTACCTATAACATCCATTTGGACGTATTAGACCCCTTCTTAGCAGACGTTTTTTGAAGCGGCTGGTAGCTTGACCCCTTCACATGGTGCGATTTGCAGCGCCACAAGTAGCACGAAGCGCTTTTCAGAAGCGCCTTCACGCAACAAAAGCGCACGTACCAAGAAGGGGCGTCGTTTTTTTAAAAAAATGGTGTCTGGTTTGAGGAGAGTTGATTTACTTGTGCCTTAGCGTACATATTTTTGTACTGATATTTTGTATATAAAGCCAAGTTCGTTATGTTTAAGATTGTTATTACCGATATGTGGGGGTTGTAGTTCGACCCTTGAAGGAAGGCGAAGCTCTATTAGACTAAACACTTCATATTGTGTGGTAAAAACCATTGTAGCACGGTGTGGCAAACTCCAAAATTATAACAGAAATTGTACAGAAGAGACTTATAAATTTCAGTTCTTACTCATCTGACATTTCCGCATAACCGTATCTTTTTTTCGAAGAAACTTTCCACTCTGCGCAGCGTTTCAAAAACGCATCGTGAGAAGGATCTCTTAGAATCTTACATATTATCCTCGCCATTAGAGATTGCCGGTACGTCATAGTTCACAATCGTATGGTTTAATATGAAAAAAATGAGTCAAATTACTTCCGTAATAATGCCAACTTGATTAGAAAATATACTCCGAGATGGCGACAGCTGTCATTTATTGGATGTTTATTTGAAGGTGCAAAACTGTCAAATCACAGAAAGTATCGTTAGTCGATTTTGGTTTTTAATTGGTATAAAATATAACGTAAGTAATAAAGACGGTGAGAAAACAAAATCCTTGTAATCTAACAGGTCATTAATGAGTTATTTTTACAGGCCATATGGTAAGATAAACCCAATGTTGTAAGCTGCCTCATTACAATGGAATTTTTCCAAAAATGTGAACATTTAGTAATTACGCTACGTCAGAATTATTACAATGGTCGAGTCTTGCATTCATAAGTGAGTTTGCCGATAAAGAATTATAAATTCACAATTAGAGTATTCAATTTATAGGTTATACGATTTTCATACACCCAGCTGCACATTGCAAGACTACCACTTTTCAAAGTTACTCACTCTGTTACTTATGATGGCTTACAATAAGGATAAATTCAAAATGATACACTAAATGGATATTAATTATGTTCAAAATATATTATAATATACGACTGTCACTATCACTCTACTTCTATTTCATATTTATACTTTTTTTACATTTTTAGCACAATGTTAGATTACTAGGAATCAGAAATGAGAAATAAGCAGCCTCTCAACTGGATCCTGATGTTGATCCTCCTTCTACCCTACGCAGTATAGAACGTGTGTAGAAATGTTTTAACGAAACAGGTCAGATTTGGCTCTCTTGCGGGGCCGTTTCTTACCCGGGCTTTCCAAAACAGGGTTAGATGCCGCTCTTGTCTTGATGCTTCGCACCGTCCTCTCAGATATACCCAAAGCGTTGGCCACTCGCTATAATTGTGTGTTTGTACTAAATGAAAATATAAGTATATATAATCACACTTACTTCTTGAACAGCAGATACGGGTACAATGGACCACATTGAAAAGTGCGTAACCGATGATTTAAAAGTGCGTGACAGGTAAACGATTAAAAATCACAACTGTCAAACAAATATACGGAAGAACTATTTTAGTCAAATGAGAGTTCAAATTCATACGGTTTACAAAACGCATTGGTTATTCGTTTTTGTTTTTTTCTCTTTCTACCTCATTATCTCATTCAATAACTCACTTCGTTTCCTTCAAATGCACTTCAAATATTCACTGTCTTTATTTGATGTGCTGTTTTTCATGTGACTTTACTATAAACGTTTTGGATAGCTAGAGTCATTTACTTATGACGTACCGGCAATCTCTAATGGCGAGGATAATATCAATTTTTGTTTCCATTGGTCTGTAGAATATACGCCATTTTTGTGCCAATATTCCGAAAGCGTTTTCTACTACTCTTCTCGCTTTACAGAGCCTCACATTATAATTTTCCTTGAAAATATCTGTTCTGCTTTGACTGTATGGAAAGGGCCTCAACAAGTATGGTTTTAGTGCAAAGGCTTCGTCTCCAATTAAGACATGGGGGAAAGTTCATTCTGGCCTGGGAGATTTTTCGGCTCAGGTACACCCATCTGATTTGTTTCAAATCTTCTTCCCATGTTGGAAGCTTCGAATATTCCACCGTCGCTGTTTTTACCAAAACCGCCAATATCAACTGAAATGAATCTATAATCTGGGCCAACAATAGCCATTAATACTGCAGAAAACTTATTCAAATAACACCAATAATTAGATCCTGTTTTGTCTGGACACTTGATAGTAACATGCTTGCCATCGATGCTACCAATACAATTTGGGAATCGCTAGGTATTTCTAAAACCTTCTTCAGATTTTTTCCATATTTCTGTAGTTGGTTCGGGCAAGTAAATATGTTGCAAATTTCTACATAAAGCTTCACAAACTTCTACAACTATGGCACTTACAGTCGAAAACCCGACTCTAAAACTATGGCCTATTGTATAAAATGTATCTCCGGTAGCCAGATACATAAAAAAGAGTATTTTGTTTCAGGGGATGAGATTAAAAAAAAATGGAGGAATCTGCGCGATACGTACGCTAAGTACATAAGAACTAATAAAACTAGAACTGGACAAGCGGCAAGCGATAAAAAAAATGGATATGGGCAGATCATATGGAATCGTTCAAACCGTTCCTAAATTTTGCTAAGACTGCATCCAATGTCACAGATGTTGATACACAAGAATCTGAAGCATTCCCAAATATAGAATCACCCGAAAATATATTAACGGATGAAAATTCCGCAGTACAGAAACCAACGTGTAGTAAAAATCTACTAACAACTCAGACAGATGATTCCCAGAATAAGATTCAACCCTCCTCATCGAAACCTACTCGAAATGAAGCTCCTAGGGTTACTCTTTCAAATTAAACTTCTTCTACAGGCAGAACAAACAGAAAACGCAATTCTGAGCCATCCACATCTGTGAAAGATACGATCAGTTATTTTGAGAGCAAAAAGAGAGTAGTGCATGATGCTACCGATCAACTGTTTTTGGCTCATGCTTCTGCGGTAAAATCTTTCTCTCCTAGAAGGCAAATTGAAACAAAAATGAAGATTGCGCAAGTTATCATGGAGCAGGAGTTGCTTCAATTGGAGGAAAGTTCTTTGAATAGCCATCAATCTAGAGCTGAAACTACAGACACCTATCAAAACCCCTCTTCCGTCGGAAGTATTTCGGTTGTATCCCTACCTTCACCAAATGACACTGCATTACCTAAAGAATCGAATACTTCTGGGTTCTATGAAGTGAATTGTGAAAATAATTATATTACACTACACAACTTGGCGCAGAGTTGCAACCAAGCAGCTTCTCATAATCCATCAGTTTCCAACTATGTCAATTCCTTTAACCCTTACAATACATAAAGTATATTTTAGAGTTATTTTGAAATAAAGAGCTTTTTGATCCTTATTCTCTTTTACTGTAGTAAATTAATGATATAAATAATGCCTGCAGTTTTTTTTTCATTTTCTTACCTTAATGTTATGGCCAACCGTTCTTCGGGAGAAATAGCTTCTCGGTAATTCGTGTCTGATTTTCTAATATCATTTTCTACAAGGTGCAACAGTTCATCGAAACAATCTATTGTCATTCTAAAATAAATGTAGCATCTTTTATCGTCTTTTCGTAATTGAGGCATCGGCGTGTGATATTCCCCACATTTCAGTCTTTCTAGATTGATATCATGAACCCATTTTCTTCTTTTCCTAAGATTAAATTCATAATATAGTCCATATTGTTGTTTTAGGATAACTATAGATAATAATTTTACCTTGAATTGTCGTCCTCCATTGCTAACATTACAAGAGCTTCTTCTTCATCTGATGATGTATACATTTTTGTGAAGAATTGAGATCACTGACTAGTATTCTTTGTTTTTCGTTGTCACCAACTCTTCTCAATACTAGACACATACGAGTATGACGCGAATATATTCGCTTCAATATGAAGTTCTTTACGAATTCCGTTAGGAATTCGACTGCGAACTTTCCGTCACGAATCCGCTGCGAATAATTCGCGTTGGTGTGGGGGAGCCTTTACACGCGAAAATAACTGATAATAAGTATTGTGCAATAGTGACGAAATCATATGTGAGTTCAACGCCATCAAGAGCAAGAAAACTTTCCACGTGAAGGCAGTTCGCAATCCCATTCTGGGAAACCATTTTCACCTTTTTGCCAGCGATTGTTTTACCTTGAAGGGGCCAGCGATTTGTTTACCTGCCGGCGTGTTGTTTTCACCTGAAGAAGATCGAGTAGACATCGACATTCAAACCAATCTATTTGGAGGTTACCGACATCAACAAAATTCAAGGAGTCTGAGCCGCACTAGGAGTCAAACGCAGGCAGGCGACGACGAGCTTCCATGTGAAGGCGACATAAAAAGAGATAAGTACTTAACAATTTTATTTGTGAACTCGCGAGTTCGGCAGTCATTTGGGCGAATAAAAGAAATAAAAAAACCTTTCTGCGTTTCTGATGTTTAAATTAAATAGGTATCATTTGTATTAGAGTATTGGATTGTTTAGATTAAGCGAGGTAGAAATAATATTTAGTTGTTTGGTAGGGAGGCAATAAGTTAGAATTAGAATTTGATTTAAAAAGCATTGAAGAAAATTATACCGGGGTTACGTTGCGCTAATAAGCCTAATAGCCTACCTTATCAACACATTCAGAATCCATTGGATACTTTTTATAGTACAATTTAATACAATCGATTTAGACCACTACAAGCAGTTTAAACCAGACAACCAAATACATAAATATTTATTGTTTATGCTGTTTACTCAAGTTTTCAGATTGTACACATGAGATACAACAGTAAAATGCGAAAAGGAACCACAAAAGGGCGAGAATCACTGGATATTTAAAATAAGTCATGTCATTTGTCATGCAGAATTAGAAACATTCCTATTCCATGATTTACATCTTATTTCCTTATGATTTGACCGCCATAATACCAAAAATAGTGTAAGTAGTGTAAACACAAATCCAAATGCTTGCTACTTATCATATGACAAATCACATCAGAAATATGATAGTGTAAAGGGTACCTTTACGAGGCAACCTGTAATATACCGGCATCATTTTGAGTACTTGAATGCTGTTTAAAATTGCGCGCGTACTTCTACGCGCCGGACTACATTTATCAAGAAGTAAAAACCCAAAGGTAAGAGCGTAAACGCGTTGTGAGTTCGTTTAAGTAATTTTCGCAATCTTTTTAAAATTAAGTTTACCGCCCGCATAAACAGAGAATGTATAAATAATATGTTCTGATAAGTTTCACTTTGACTCTCATCGAAAATGGAAGGTTGGGCAAATACAGGCTAGAATTAATTTGTAGATCTAGTCTATCTATTTTTCGAAAAAGTTAAAATTTGTAATTAGAGTGTCTTTGTAATAATGATGAGATAAGCGCAGATAATCGTTAACTATTATGAAATTTATCTAATCCATTAAAGGTCTGGCCACGCAGGTATAAATTCGTTTGAGCGCTGCCTCATATACGAGTCTTATCAATTTATCATCATTTTGAAGACATGTATTTTAAACTTGTTTTGGCTTCCGTTGGTCTGATGTGTGTAGATGTTGCCTCAGGTATGTAACTACACGTTTATCATTTTAAGCACGAACGGTCTCTAAATTTGAAGCTTCACTTGAACTTTAAGATTGAATTTTGTCGCGGCGTCCAGGGTTCGCGGCCCGCCGCAACGTCCACCTGTCATGCATTGCTACAATTGGCTAGTGAAAAATGTGAAAATGAGCTCCGCTCGTCTGAAAGATGCATTTGTTGGTAGTGGACGCAGCGGGCGGGGTATTTTTCCCTTTCTTAATTTTTTGTATAGAGCCAGCCATGTTCAATTGCAGGGCAACTAGCTGTCAAGGATCCTAGCAGCATTGCAATAGTATTTTACATTATTAGCCAGGTAACTGAGTTTTTACTGGCGATAGGAGAAGTTGACTAGCGAGCCGTTAGGCGAGCTTGTCATCTCCTAGAGCCAGTAAAAACTATTACCTGGCGTATAATGTATAATATTTTATTTGTTACTCATTTGTAAACAATAGTAAGCGTAAATAATTAGTTCTTAAATTAATCTTGAAGAAATGTCTAAAATATCATGTTATCCATGTAACAGAGACTTCGCATTAATTCTGGCCAATGAAATTACTAGATTACTAACTTGTAAAATTTTTACAAGTCTGCTGTCAGTTTTACAAGTCTGCTGTCAGTTTTACAAGTCAGTAGCGTTTAAACATGACGTTTACCCGTTTGCGTTTTGTCTTGTTAATCAACGTTTACAACTGAGTAACAAATAAACTTTTTAATTGAACAGCTGGATTTATTCTGGAAATTATGTATAAGGGGGGAGTCTTACGATTTCTTGTTCAATCCACATCTAACACAAACCCTAAAAACGTACACCTTAGAGAGGGTTGTAAGTTACTTTTCTGATAATTAGGTAATTATAAACCGCATATCGACTAAAAACTTAATTGAGAATTTCACGTTCCTAACGCATTCATCATAATATTTACCTAGTAATAGGAAGTCATCTAAATAAACAACTGGCATGAAACCACATGATCTCAGATGTGCAACTATAGGTTTCATAATGAAAGCTTATTAAAAAATTAAACTTGCTACAAGTTTGGTTATATACATCTTTACGAAAAACTGGACCGTTTTCCTGCTACCGGCTCCGGAAAGGTGGTAATTTTTAAACAAAATTGTTTTTCACTCACGGTTTTCGTATGTTTCTAAATCCTCCCCCGTTCATTTTAGGGGAAAATCGTCACAATAAAACCTGTACAGCATTAACTTCAAAAGAATTCAATTTTATTGTATCCAAAAATGTTCACAATGATTAATCTGCTTGAAGGATCTCGTCGTCAATATCCTGGTCGATAGCTTCCTCAAGGATAGGCGGACGGTTTAGGCCAGTCACCTACACATCCACAAACACGAGAGCAGTGGATGCCTGCCTTCCTACAACCACACCTGTTGTTGCATCCCGTAGCACAGCGCCAGAATATTGAATTTAAAATGTGATTTGACGCAGGAGGTTCGGAGGACTTGACTGGGGTGAGGATTCCATCTTCATCCCTAACCCAACTCCATGCTTGTGGGTCGATGGTGGTATTACCCAGCCAAATTTGGGTTTGAAGGAAGACCCTATGAGCATGCTGGGCAGCTGTCGTTGGTGGCAGAGTAGCCAAATTGGTTTTTACTTTTGTTGACGATTTAACGAAGCATTTAAATCCTTTTGGTTGGGTGGGGCGTTGTAAAGGATGAGAAACATGGCTTCTCCTGCTTGGGTCACTTGATGATTGGTGGATGAAGGATTGTAAAATACCTCCGCTATTGCCTTTGTCTCATCAGGCAGTTTTTCAAAAGTTTTTGAGACTTCTCTTCGCTTTTGTTCCACGTTTTATGGAATTAATGACCTCGTACCCATCGAATAGAACTGCACAATTGGAAGAATAGTGATTTATTATATATGAAGCATGCTGCTCACCGATGAAAGATAAAGTGGTCTCAACATTCCACTTGACTCTGTGAAGGAGAAAGCCACCGTCCACTACAGTGTAAATTGTTTTGAGGTTCACTGCATCCATGCACAAAGGGACAGCCTCATAGAGAGCAGGTTTCTTCGTTTTCCTGAAGCATCCTTCGTGGAATAGTCATGGGGTATGGAGGTAACTCGTATTTCAACAGGTCTGCAACATGCTCATCACTTCTCTTGCTTATTAAAGTTCTTTGAAAAATTACGGAAGCATCTACCACAACTGCTTCGTTATGAACTTTCACAGTGGTGCTCATAGCAGACATAGGGACCACATTATTTTTCTTAGATTGCTTCATGCCAGCAAAGTTCATCCCAATGAAGGATTGCATTGTACGGGATCCAATTTCCATGGCTTGATGACAATTAAAGTTACTGCCACCTATGACTCTGGTCGAGAGGGATATGACATGGTCACGTTCAGCAAAAGGCGGGCGGTTCGCTAACCAATCAGCAAGCTTTGCTGTCTTCAGTATCTCTTTTGATACGTGATTCACGCAAGTTAACATGTTGCTCACCGCTAACACTGTGGGTACCCGCAAACATTTCAACACATAAACAGATTGAAGCTGCAATGCCTGCTTCTGCAATCCATTTTAATAATAATAATAATAATAATAATAATAATAATTTTTATTTCATGTGCAGGCAGTACAAAAAGAGCTTACAATCGTCATATGGAAAATGAACACAACATATTTATATACATTTATAAAGATATAGATTTTGTCAATACAGAGTCAGTGAATCCTCGCCCTCGTGTTAGTCCTCCTTCGCTTTTGTCACACATCAAAGTCTGCTCGATGGTCATGTCAGACCACAACCCTGCCCATCGATTTCCAGTTCTATTCACACTAAAGTACCAAAAATCGATATACTGCTTAAAAAGGTGATGATCACCAGGGTCGCATTTAATGAGATGTCTTGCACATAGAGATGTGTTGGGCCTTTGTCATTCATCCTTGAGAGCGCATCACTGATTTTTTTTGGAAACGATTGAGGGTATGGACATTTGAGTTGACTTTTTCAGGGAACCATTCGTCGTCAGACTGAAGCATGTCCACAATGACTTGTTTGTCCTCAGACGAGAATGTGGCACTTTCGAGAATAATTTGTGCTAGTGCTGTTTGCACAAGTAAATGGCCTCTAACCGCTCTGCTATAAGCCTGAGTTTGGAGCAAAAATGCAACACGGGAACTCCTTCAGCCCACTTCCTGCCATTGTGTACCCAATACACCCCAAAAAAGACAATAACATATGAAACCCCCCCAGGACCATTTTTATATTGTTGAATTTGAGAGCATTAGCAGTAACAATTTCCCGAGATATCAGGTAGAGCGGCTGATCCATTGTTACAAAGCAAGTCGTTAATGCAAGACGAGTGACATCTTCTGATGCATAACTTAGAGGAGTGTACAACGTATCGTTACCACTCCGGGGGGGGGGGGGGGGGCAAGCTGTGAAATGCATTACGCCCGTCCAGAGTAGCAATATTAAAATCGGCATTCTCATAAACATATTGGCAAAAAGTATTTGCAGGTGTCGTATTTTGGTGTTTGTAAAGGGAGGATATTTCTAGTTGTTCAATGTTCAGCATGGTGGTAATTCGCACTGAATTCCAAGTTAGCCAGTAAATTTATCAAACTTTTGCATCCAAATTTTCGATGAATTAAGTACGCAATGCTTGTCAGAATTGAAGATATAAAAGACCGCGGACGAACGACAGAAATGATGGCATGGGAAAAATGGATACTGTTTTCCTCATGATATCATCTGAACCCCTTCTTTTCTTTGGGATAAGAGACTCCATTAAAAGCTAAGAGTGTAGGTAGCACCATCCCCGCAGATTCTCTGAGTAACTCATCGCTTGGAGGATATTTGATTATGTCATATGCCTCACATTGGATCTCTTTTCGTATAATTGCAGCAGCCGTTCGTACCTCTCTTAAATTTTCTTCTTTTTCGTTCTCCAGTCGACTTGCTTACCAAGCAGAATTCAAAATACTCTCACCCACGTTTCGAAAGCATACAACCGTTTTATGGAAACGTATCTTACTAAAAATGATTGTATCCCCATACTTTTTCTCTTAGCTTTCACCCACGTCAACTCTGGCATTTCACCACTTACTTGATCCCTTAACTCATCCATGGAATACTGAACTTTGTCTTTCTTGTCCAAATAATAAAATATTTCCTCCATAGCAGCAGATACATAGTCTACCTGAGGTCTCCCTCTCTTCTGTCACCTTACACCAATCATGAATTGAGGGGATCCATGTTTTCTTGAACTCAAAATGGGGTGGACATCGAACAAATTAGCGAGAATTAATAACTCCAAATCTTCCCCATGCGTCTAAATTTATTAGATTAAATTGTGGAATAAATAGTTGCAACTAGTTTCGACGTTACCGTCATCTTCTGTATGTATATAACCAAACTTGTAGCAAATTTAATAAGCTTTCATTTTGTACTGAAGAACTTTTTCACTGTAACGCACCATTTTCGAGAAAAACTGAAAAATGGGTTGTTTAAAGCCCCCCCCCCGTTCCCCCAGCGGTACTGGAATTTGGAAGGACTTCATTGTTTCTTGTTCAGAGAACCTCTCCCTACACATTTCTGAAAAAATTGGAAGTAGTATTTTGAGTTCCTCTGATTTCCATTTTTGGTCTAAATTGACTGGGCGGTTTTATTAAACCGATAGCATTAGCAGCTGCTGGGCTAGGTAAAAGGAAAAAACAATACACCCGGTATCGGTTAAGTGTGAGGTGTGCGGCGAACATGAGACCCGGGGAGATCTTGAAACTGACTCGTGTGTGCCGGAACGCGAGTCGCATATCGAAATTCTTCGGGAGCGTGACTTGGAGCTAGCAGAAGGTGAACGCGATCGACTAACTCTCCGAAGACGGGCTAACTCCTTTTGCAACCGTGTCAATTTCTTTTCCAAAAACGCCGGACTTCTATCCCGGCGGCGCGGCGGTGTTTTCCCATAGCAAAAAACAACACTTCACAAACAACAAGGAACGCGGAAACGAAATGCAACACTCGAGCACTAAAATAGTAATGGCTGACTAAAAGCGTAACTCTGAGGTTCGCCGCTAAAAATTTTTTTTCTTTCAATTTGTGCTGCACTCGGGCGTGAATTAGAGGTACTACCAAACAATATGATCATGTAGTAAAAAGCGGGAAATATCATTCATCTATTTCATCTACAAGGTAACACTCGTGTAGCGTTTATTTTGTATTTCTCGACCCATTTATTGGTAGTTTCAGATCAATCTGTCCAGGGGTAGTTTGGATCAATACTTTAGAATCTATTAAAGCATATTTGAAGGCGTTAAGAAGGTGTATTTCTTCTATAGTCGTTGAACTTACATTCCAAAATGTAGTTCTTACGTGTTCCTTAATCACCGAAGGAGGACGTTTTCCCATGGACACTTCTTGCAGAGCCCATAAGAATTAGTTAATTACATCCTGGTTACATCTGAAACCATAAAGGCTAGTCCGACTAGAGTATGTTTTACAAGCTTCTATCGTAGCATGTTTATGAGCAATTAGTGGATTTAGTCAGTTTTCATCATATTTGTTACATAACGAAGGCGATTGACACAAAACACCAATAAATCACTTGAGATATGATATGGGCAGATTAATACTTTCGAGTTCGCAATTAAAGTATTTAAAATGGAGATAGCTTTATCCTTGGAGATAAGAGAAATAGTAAACAAGTTTATCAATGCTGTCAATCATAATTTATGCAAATTCTTTATTTTTTGCGGGCAATGCTCGCAAATCCGTTTATTTAAAATGAATCGTCTTCTGTTCTAAAGGTATTGACATATAGGTATAATTCCGTATTGAAATTAATGTACTTTTCATTGCTTCGAAGATGATCACATGGGGGAAGATTTTCCCCGATGAAATTGTAAAATAAAATCTAATATGAGACATCGACAACTCTCTGTGTTATTACGCAAAAAAAGTGATTTTCTCATCGACTTTGTTGAAGAAACGTAGCCTTTTTTTTTAAATTCGTGGAAATTATTTTTAATTTGATTTCCTTATACGTATCAAATTGTAGGTTTTTTCTCATACAACTGCTATAGTTGCCATGGTATGTATGACAACTCCCCTCAAGAAGTTGACAACTGTCGAAAGTTTGTTAATATTAGCGCAACTAGCAGTTGTACACGACCTGGATATTGCATATTTTATTATGGAGGTAAGTTATATGTTAACTAATACACAAATATCATCCATCTCGTTTTAGAGGTTACGATCAACCATAAGCCCGTTGTCAAAACGGGAAGAATGTGTGCTACAGAACAATGTGCTGCCATGAAAGGATGGACCGCAAAAAGCATACACTGTTCGGATTGCAAAGGCGACTATTGCAATACTGACAAATATGATAAATAAGATTACTGATTACGTTATTGTTTTTTCTTTAACTGATCGTCTAAACTACAAAATGTAATAATTATGTTGTAATATACGTACCATTGGAATCCATTTTTGAGACACCTTTTTTCTCAATCATCAAGTCGCAGGAAGTCTGTGGTCACTAAAATAGAGGGAGGTGTTTATATTCAGGCGCACTTTACAACTCTGTAGTTTGCAGTAGGTATTTGTGACGTTAGAGTACGCAGAAATTTAACTTTGGACGTGTTTTGGCGGTTTGCGTTGTTGAAAATAAACTCTAAATATAATAATAAACGAAAATGATGAATGAGTATAAACTGATCGAATTAATTCAAGATGGGACACAAATTCAGTGCAGTTCAGAAATAAAATTATTAAATTAAATACGTGGAATGAAATTTCAAAACAACTAGGGGCAACTGGTAAGCTCATACTTATTAATTTTCTTAATAGCAAGTTTTCTTTTAGGTGATGACTGCCAGAATACTTGGAAGAGGTTACGAGATAGATACACTCGCAATAAAAGATTGGCACCCTCCGGTGCAGAAGGTGCTAGGAAAAAGTGGGACAAAGAGGATTTATTGCGATTTCTGGACAAGATTTTAGTGACACGAAGGTAACATACGTAATTATTTTGACAGTCTAAAAAATTGAATTCCAATTTTAGAACTACAAGTTGCGCAGCTGAATACAGTGAAAGTAATGGAAATACTGAATCGCTACCAGAAACGGAACAGATTTTCGCACAGGAAAGTGTAGAATTGAATGAAGTTGAAATTTTCGATTCTGCAAATGCAGAGGATACTGGTGACAATCATACACAGTCACTACCCATTAACGTGGAAATAATCCCAGCAGAAGTTGTAGATTTGAAGCCTACATCCACCTGTCACTTTTCATCTTCGTGGTCAATTACACTATTTATGTAGTCATCTCTAACTCTGATGCACCTTAGAAAATGATGTAAAGCAACTGTTGCCTTAACTATACTGTCCACAGTGGTTGGTTGTACAAAATCGGTTTTCTTAGAATTCTCCACCTGGACGCCAAAATTCAAATGCCACTATTCGGCGGCCCCTACTTAATCGATAGTTGAAAATTCGCGATTCTTTTGACATTTCATTTTTCGGATAGGGTCTTATAATATTTCTTCACAAGGGAAACGCTTCATCAGCAACAAAATGGCAAGGAAAATTTTCATTTGTGCGAGGTAAAATGTAGTTTTTTGGAACATTTAGGGTTTCGTTCCATCTTGCAGCACCAAAATTAGGATTTCTGAACACTCCATTATCTCCACAAATGCCTGTAATAATCCACATTATGTAAAAGGAATTATAATGTTATGATGTGATACAAGGGTAATGGCGGTAAGAGCACGCAATTTAAAAAAATCATTTAATTACAACAAGACTTGCTAACATAAATCAACTTAAAATTATTTTCATAAGTCTAAAGTTCATATGCAACTATCCTTTAGGGCCAACAACGGAAGTAACTAAATACAAATGAGAAAAAAAATAATTTTCAAACTTGTGTAAATGCGTACTCTTAACAGCGTTAACGTTAAATAGTACGCATATAATCTTCTAAGAGTGCGCACATAGTTTATTCACTACAGTCGTCACAGTAATGACATATGTTAGAGATGGCTTTGTATGAAAATAAAATAGTTCGTAGTTGGTATGGTTACAAATAATAACAAGATTGTATAAATAAAATATGTTGCGTTTTGATTTCTTGTAAGAAGAAGCTACTTATACCAGCGTGTTGGTACACCAAATTAGCGGCCCCGTTCCTAAAAGTGTTAGTTTTAACAAGTGGCGACCGTGACAGGACAAGTGGGTAAATTTAGGTTGTGTACAACAAAAAGTAAAAGAGATTGTCAAACCTGTATCGTTGAAGATGACTGAACCACTCAAAAAACGGCGTACTGTAGCCCGCGGTGCTTTTACTCGAGCTTTTAATACATTTATGGAGACGGTTTGTACGGAAACCGCTTTGGACGTTAAGCAAAGCGCGTTTCAATTATTAGAAATACGGCTGAAAGAATTAGACCTCAGTCAAGAACATTATAACAAGATTGTATAAATAAAAAATAAGTTGCGTTTTGATTTCTTGTAAAAAGAAGCTACTTATATCAGCGTGTTGGTACACCAAATTACCGGCCCCGTTCCTAAAAGTGTTAGTTTTTAACAACATACATACTCTCCTAATCCAGAATAAGCGGTACAATCTTCGTGGAACCAGTTTTTGCAAAGTGCTGCATTGGACACTTTCAGGGGGATCTTTATATATTTCCCGGCAAACTGGGCAGAAAATCTCTGGCGATTTTGTTTTCTTTGGCACTGATTTCTTTGTGGTACCGACGAGTTTTCGTTTGGACTGTGTAACTTTTTGGTTTTTGGGGTTGCTTGAGTGCTTCTAGTTCAACTCATTTTTATAAGGAGACTCAGTTAGTAGAACGGACTTCTTCTTTTTGCGAGCGTTGGCTGTTCTTGGTGGTGCCTTCGGCAATGGTTTTCTGACCTTCGGCGAGATAAAATTGGTTGATGGTTTTTTGGCGGTGTGGAAGGTGGGGAATTTCGTGAATCCGGTGCAGATGATGGCGTTCGAGCAGAGGATGTAGAGGGGATTTCCATTTGCAAATTTTGGTTGCCAGTAGTATCACTGAACTGCTTTGGTTGCTGCTGAAGAATGATTAAGGGTAAATCTTCATCTTCTGTTGTTGGCCCTAAAGGATAGTTACATATGAACTGTAGACTTATGAAAATAATGTCCAACTCATTTTCTGTGTGTTGACTCACATTTGATTCTGTGTGTTCATCATGTCCTTGATTTGGGTCTGGTTGATCGGTTACCCATACAACACGATGATCTTTCAGACGTGTTGCAGAAATGTATCTATGAAACTTTGATAATATTTCTGAAATGTTTCGCAAGATTACTGAAATGTTTCTGCAATATTTATAAATGCCAATATGTCCTTTCATGAAATATATCCTGCAATATTTCTGAAACTCATTTTCGAAATATGTCTGATATATGTCAAGCTATATTTCCCACACCAAAAATAGAAATATTCCTACAATATGTGAGTTATAGCAATATAAATTTTACGAAAGGAAAACACCCAGTCTTCACCACATTAATGTAATAATTTAAATTAAATTATTAAATTAATGTGGTGAAGACTGGGCGTTTTCCTTTCATAAAATTGCACACATACCAACATAGGAGATGGATTTACAATTTCAAGTGTATAGCAATATAAAGTTGGAATTCTTTCGAGTTTGGTCCTGCATTTGCTCTGCTCCACAATGAGTATTATACGATGGTTCAGAAGGGCCACCGCCCAACTTTTTTTCATGAAAATCTTGCACTTCGTGATTTAATCTCGCACTGCATGATATTATCTCGCACTGTATGATTTTATCTCGCACTGCATGATTTCATCTCGCACTGCATGATTTTATCGTGCACTGCATGATTCTCGTACTGCATGATTTTATCTCGCACTGCATGGATTTATTTCGCACTGCATGAATTTATCTCGCACTGCATGATTTTATCTCGCACTGCGTGATTTAATCTTGCACTGCATGATTTTATCTCGCACTGCATGATTTTACTAGCACTGCATGAATTTATCTCGCACTGCATGATTTAATCTTGCATTTCGTAATTTTATCCGACTCTAAGTACATCATTTTATCTAGCACTGCGGATTTCCATATTTAGGTTCTCGCTACACCCATTGCATTATTATTCGTGATTTTGTAGTGAGTGGAAGATTGTGCGCGTAGAAAAGTTTCTCCATTTCCGGCCATCTGCAGAAGCTATCCCTGTTCTAGATGATTTAACAAAGTTCTATTTTGGATTTGGGTTGACGCAACAAGAAATAAAAGCCTTGCTGAAACTTCGACACGGCTTTGAAATTAGTGAAGGACATTTCAAACGTCTTTTGAAAAAAAATAACTTACGAAGAAGAAAACCTTATTCTGTCCCCACTGAAGTAATACGGTTTATCAGGAATCATTTACAAACAAGCTCCCAATTACATGGATATAGATGGATGCACCTAAAGTGTCTTCAGCATGGTCTAGTGGTTCGGCGAAGTACCGTAAGACTTTTGTTAAAGGAACTAGATCCAGAAGGAGTTTCCTTGCGCAGTAGACGTCGGCTAAAACGGAGACAATATTTTAACAAAGGGCCAAATTACTTGTGGCATATTGATGGTTATGATAAACTAAAACCATATGGTATTGCCATAAATGGATGTATTGATGGATATTCTCGTCATATTATCTGGTTGAAAGCTTGTTATACTAACAATAATCCTCGGATTATATCTGCATTTTTTGTGTCTTCCATCGAAACATGTGGAGGATGCCCACGAAGTATACCTACCGACATGGGGACTGAAAATAGTCACATTGCGCATATGCAAACTTTTTTAAGAAGCAGATTTTTTATAAATCAGAATTCGTTACCGGCATTTATTTATGGAACAAGTCAGCACAATCAACGAATAGAATCCTTTTGGTCTATATTGCGAAGGGAAAATGCACAATACTGGATGAATCTCTTCGAGTCTCTTAAAGATGAAAACTATTTCAATGGAACGTTGGTTGATAAAAGTTTAATTCAGTTTTGTTTTCTTCATTTAATTCAGGTAGGTCTATCAGAAATAGTACAGAAAACGATACCTACACCTAAAAAGTTAAGTATAGGTACCTAACTCAAAAACTAAATTTCTTTAAAGCCGATATTTCACACAGAAACAAGAGTTCACACGGTCATCATTGTTCAGTATTAAATTCTGAATTAGTCAAAATGATTCACTGAACAAATTCGCGAGGACTCTCTCATTTAAGGTTATATGGTTAAAACAGTGTTTTTTTTAGATGGAGCTGGATGAAGTGTGTCTTGTATGGAACAGTCATCGAATAACGACAAATCGAGGAAGTAGGACATCTGGTGGCAAACCCATTATAAGGTATAATTTGCCAGAATTATTTGGAACAAAAGATTATAGTGTCAAAATATCAGAAGAAGAATTAGATTTATTCAAAGAACAGGCCATGTTTTTAGAAGAGCGTACCTGTTGTGACGAAAATGGATATAAATTATGTAAAATTTTGATGATCGAAAATAATTATGAAAACCCACAAACCGTTGATGAAGCTTTGACTTTATATAAATATATTAGAAGTAAGACCTATGAATTATTGGAGTAAGATAAAAACATAACATTAATATAGGTATAATTTATTTAAAAAATACAGTTTGTATTATGTATACGCAGAAAATAAAATGAAACAAACAACTATTCCGCCCAAAGAAATCTAGGTAGCACCAATGTAGGTATACATACAAACGAAAAAGTTTAAGTTGTATGTACTTATATAAAAAAATGTTTCCTTTTAAAAAGTTTTTGGTAGATACAATTTACAAAAATTATGGTAGTCCAAAACCTATTGCATTCTTCACTGCAAAATCCATGGTGTCTTTAAATTCTTTATAATCTAAATGACAAGTCGGGATACTTAATTGGAGGGCACATGTATTGGCAGTCGGATATTTGCTTCCATCACAATTATTAAATGTTAATTTGGGTGTAATGGGAAATCCTAACGGTGGTATAATATCGGAACCAGTGGCAAACACCAACATATCAGTGACACTGACACTATCATTATTTGTATTGTCTAAAGAAAAAAAACACGATCAATAAAAGTGAACTTTATAAATATTTGCATATTCACCTTCGCAATCTACTAGGTAATCCCTAAAATAAGATATAGCTCTGTTTTCCAATATTCTCTTGTTAGACCCCTGTTCGCTATACTCGATGGTTTTAAACAATAATTGTTCTAGTTGGCGTTCCATATTGTGGTCATCAGGAGGTTGTAGACCCACCTGTAGTTTATAACACGCAACACTGTTTTGCAAATCTGACTCAAGGTAAATCACGGTCAAACGCAGGAGAGTTTGCGCATGACGTCTCAAGATTGCATGCAACCAAGAAAGGATGATACGAAATTAAATTCGCTAAAAAGGGCGAAATTAATTCCGTGTTAGTTAACTCGGAATTAAATGGAAAGGAATTAATTCCGAGTTAACTAACACGGAATTAATTCCCTTCGATTTAATTCCGTGTTAATTAACGCGGAATTAAACAAAAAGGAATTAATTCCGTGTTAGTTAACAGGGAATTAAATAGAAGGGAATTAGTTCCGTGTTAGTTAACACGGAATTAAATAGGAGGGGTTTAAATCCGTGTTACTTAACGCGGAATTAAATACGAGGGAATTAATTACGTGTTAGTTAACACCGAATTAAATAGGTGGGAAATAATGCCGTGTTAGTTAACTCGGAATTAAATAGAAAGGAAATACGAAGGCGCAGAAGGGACATACTTGTTTCTTTTTCCGATAAAGATATTAATTTCGTGTTTGCAAACACTAATTAATTCGTCATAGTTAATTTTGTGATTGCTAACGCGCAGTGAATTGTATAGGAATTAATTCTGCGTTTGCAAACACGGAATTAATTACGTCATAATTAATTCCGCGTTTGCAAACACGGAATTAATTACGTCATAGTTAATTTTGTGATTGCAAACGCGAAATGAATGGTAAAGGGATTAATTCCGCGTTTGCAAACACGGAATTAATTACGTCATAATTAATTTCGTGATTGCAAACGCGGAATTAATTGTATAATGTCGAAACGCGGAATTAATTGCCTTTGATTCCCAGACGTAACCGAGGTTTCTCTGTAGCTAGTAACAATTTTCTTTCGTTGGGACTACTCTTCCAAATAAACGGACTCAACGTTAAGGTGAAGTGAGTTGTACACTATAGTAAAGTTCCTGGCTTTCTATACATTACCTAGTCTAGTAAGTATACCTAATTTAATTTTATATCAAACTAAGTTGATGTCTTTATAGGTATGGATTATCGAGATAAGTTGGTGGAAAATTATTTTTCTGTAGGGTTTCAACAAAATGAAATCATTTCTATGTTAGAACTAGTGCATAGAGTAAAGGTGCATCCTAGAACGTTGAAGCGGATACTCTGTAGATTAAAGTTATGTCGCCGCAAGAATTATAGTGATATTGGTATTGTAGTCAATTTTATTAATAGTCAATTGGCAAACTCAGGACAACTTCATGGTTACCGATGGATGCATCTTAAATGCATCCAGCATGGCTTAATAGTCACACAGAAAACAGTAAGAGAGGTGTTAGCACTACTCGATCCAGAAGGAGTGTATATACGAAAGAGAAAACGTTTACGTAGAAGGCGATATTTTAATGAAGGGCCGAATGCAGTTTGGCATATAGATTCTTACGATAAACTAAAAAGATATGGGATTTGCATAAATGGTGCCATTGATGGTTTTTCTCGGCACATAATATGGTTGCATGCAGGTCGGACTTCTAGTAACCCTAAAGTAATAGCAGGGTACTATCTTTCTGCAATTATGCGTTTAGGAGGATGTCCACACACAATTCGGGCTGATATGGGCACGGAGAATGGTACAATAGAGGCAATGCAAACAGCATTGTGTCAAATTTTTACCAATCCAGAGCAGTGCAAACCACCATTCATATATGGAAAAAGTACAGCCAATCAACGCATCGAATCTTGGTGGTCGAATTTACGTAAACAATGTGCACAGTTTTGGATAAACTTATTTGAAACATTGGATGAGGAAAATATGTTTAACGGTTCTTTCCTTGACAAGTCTCTCATGCAGTTTTGCTTCCTGAAGATTATACAGGTAGGTATTATAATAACTATACACTTACGCCGGTCCCTCATACTGGCAGAACGGTAGAACAAATATCGACTCGGTGAATAATATGTGCTAAGTTAATACCTTAATTAAAAAAGACCGTCTTCCAAGTTACACCCTGTAATGAATAAATGTGAGAAGAACAAAAGGGTGTATAGTGTAACTATAAAGTGCTTATACCTAAACAATTACCATGCTACTACATTTTTAATTGTGACATTAAATTAGCACTTAAATTTACCATTATTTTAACTTTTTTCCTGTCACCAAGCATTAAGCAATCGTCACTTCTATAAAAATGTTCACGAAATGATTGTATCTGAACTGAATGTCTTTAATATTTAAACACTATCAAAATAATTATGCACCCCCGTCAATGTATTGTCTGAATTTTTAATTTATTTTAGGAAGATCTAGATGCTGTAGTGCAAATCTGGAATTCGCATCGAATTCGTGGTTCGAAGAAGAATAGGCTTTGCCTTGGAAGACCTACGATTATGTATCAAGCCCCTAGTCTATTTGGCGCAGAAAATAAGTTAATCCCCATCTCCGAAGCAATTCTTCGATGTTTAGAAGACCAGTGTTTGTTTTACAGTAATCCATGTGACCATTCTATCATGGAACTATGCAGAAATATAATTTCAGAAAATAATATTACGGTCTCTGTTGATGATCCCTATAGTGCTGTAAAACTTTATGTCGACCTTAGGACCATGATCATTCACTTAATGCAACAACACTAATGTTTATTTATATATAAAATGCTTCTTTTAACATAAAACAAAAGATGTAAAGAATTCGTATTGTTTTTATAATATGCACAAGAACCTTAGAAAACTTAAAATGTTGTATTCGATTACCAATAATAATAATGTAGTGTTAAACTCATGCAAAAGCAAAATCCTTACAATTAGCAATTCCAAAAGCAACATCAGATTTAAATTCATTATAAGTTGTGTAACCAAGCGGAAGTCTTAATTCAAGACCACACGTATTGGCTGTCGGGTAACGTACATCTCTTTGGAAAGTGATTGTTGGTTTAACGTCAAACCCTAGTGGTGGTAAACGGTCGATTCCTGTTGCAAGTATCATAATATCTTCTAAAGAAACTTCGGTTTCTGAATCTATAAACATGTTACATAGAAATAATAATACCTAAGTAATCAATGAATCTTTTACCTTCACAATCGAGTAAAAAATCGCGCCAAAAACTTATGGATTTATTTTCGAGCAGTCGGGCAGACGAGTTTATTTCGGAATATGTGATGTTAAATAAACTGTTCAAATCTTTGCTGGTAATGGAATTATTTTCGCCACACATGATATCTTCAAATAGATTTGGATGGTCTTTTATTAAATTCAAAACATGTCCAGTAGCGAGACCCAATTCAAATTGCTCCAATGCAGGTCGGATACGGTTGTACCCGTAAAATTTGAGTAAGTCTAAAATTGTACATTGTATGATCTAAATACCTTTCACCTTTAAATTTCAGGAAATTCAAAATATTCGACAATGTTGCAGAAATAAGTTAAAATATACCTTCAAGCATCACATTCTTTTCTTCAATTTTGGTAATGATCGGCCAACCAGCGATAGAAAATACCGATTCTTTCTCTACATATTCTTGTAAGCACTTAAACTCACAGAAAGTGGTGATGCGCAATATTTTTTCACGAATTTCGTACTCGATATCATCCATTGTCAAATTGTTGGTATAGCCTCTAACTAGGAGAGAGTACAAATTCTTGGAAAAGAAGTATGGACCTGGACCTCCATGTATAAGCGACAGAGCAATCAGACGGCCACTTTCAAAGTATTCTTGTTTTTGGAGCGCATCACCATCCAGTGTAAGAAATTTCTTCTTTTCGCCAAAAAACATTCTACTGTTTTTAATATGGTTTATCACCAACCTAAACATTTCCCGTGTAGGTCCGCCCGCATCAACCGCTCCTTCACTGCGTCCTTCGATATCACTAAACATAACACTGATTTTGTTAAAGGGGGAAAATGTCTTTCGTCGAATGGCTCGAACGCAACAATTAAAAATATCTGCACGATACACATTAAACATTGAAACTTTATCTGAGGTAATCTTGTTTTGTAATGGTTTAAGAACCATTTCTAAGGAGACCTCTTGTGTAACTGCTTCGCCGGTTCCATTTAATGACCTAGAATCCGTTTCACGAAATTCTTCCCATTGGTTTGTCTGCAGCTCTGCATAATTCAACGACGTCTCATTTAAGCTTTTTGTAATAACTGTGTCTGTATCAGTATCGAATAATAACTGATTTATTTCGATCATAGTTGGGCTACCCTAAAAACGAAAAACAATAAAGATGTTCTTAAAGATAAGTACCTTACAAGACGTGAATCGGGGGAAATCATTGTGCAAGGCTGGTTTGCGTCTATACCACAATCCAAATATTGAACCAAACAATCAGGATTGGGTTCATATTGCTCACCGGAATATTTGCTTATAACTGGGGTCGAGATAAACTCTTTTAACTCAGTATAAATTGTCTTGTCCTCGGGTTCGTCCAGTTGTAAATTTTGATTTGAACTGGTTCGAGCATTGTCTATAGTAGTTAGCTTCAGTTTTTTTTTGGGAATTTTTGTTTTTATTTGTTTTTGGGTGGTTCTGTTTTTAATACAAGGCGATTTATCTTCCGGTAATATTTTGTTCGTGGCCAGGTAGAAACGTAAGGTAGTCAGCTTGGCTACTTTAAATATTTCACCAATACTGATGTTTTCATCGAAATGATTTTCCTGGTAATCCACCAAGTCATATTTGAATTCATCTAGTTTCCCATACTTGCAAATGCCATTTGGGAAAAATAAATTAATAGCTTCTTGTAATAATTCTACTTTTGTTAAGGTTTTTTTAACTTTGATGTTTCTCACACCACCACCATTAATGTCCCGCACCAGTTTTCCATTCATTTTCCACCCCAATTTGACAGTTCTCTCTTCTTGGTAGGGTCGTCCCGGAGTCGCTTTTCTACCCTCTGATGACCCGGCCTGATTATTGGTGTTATCCTCTTCCCCATTGTAACTTCTCTTAATTTTTTGTATTAAACTTAGAGTTTTCGTCGAGCAGGAAGGTGATGTCCAGTGGTGTCTTCTACAGAAGTTAGTTACCGCTATTTGGTCCCCAATCTTTGGAATGTATTTCTCTAGTTGCTCAAATGTCATTCCAGTAATTGCTTCCATGTCAACCTAAAAGAATAACTAAGTACTATCTAACTGACTTCTGGCTGTTTACACCGTCAAGTTTAGGCAGAACTTAAGATTAACCACAGGTGAAAATCCATGATTAGTTGAGACAAGGGTTGCGACGCATTTGAAAAGCGTTAACCTACTTCTTAATTTTTACGGTGCAAATGGGAATGTCTTTTTTGTGGTGTTATTATTTTACAGGTAAAAAGCAGTTCGTTTTTTTTTTTTAAATTACTGACTAGTATGAGATACGTTTGGATTGGAACATAATCTACTCGTAATAGCGTGTAAGAAAGGCACGTGTGCGCATACAAATGCCAGTGCGTTTAACTAAAATCCGCCAAATCCAAACTGGTTTCATTTGAGATAAATCGCTTTGGAATCGTTCTAGAATTGTCTCGATATGAGTTTAGTTTTTGCGTTATATTAAAGCAAAACTTGAAATATAGGTTTTTTCAGAATTTTAAGTGACACGGTATACCTTACAAAACAACTACTCCTACTTAGGAATAATTGTAACAGAATCCGTTTAATTGAGCAGTTTCCGGTGTCTCGTGTGATATCGACTTTGAGTCTTTTTGCATGATTGCATGTAAATGCGGTGGTCTGCGGTTAATAAAGATTTACTGGAAGGAAAAGTATTTTGCAAAGGAAAAGCTGTTCGATAAATCTAAATCCTTATAAGGTACACCTGGGCTGAGACACACTGCAAGTCAGCAAGTTTAAATTACTCAAATCCATAGATTCTAAAAATTTAATACTTCATTCTTACTATTTACACTCGCCTACCTTATCATTTTTCATTGATGCCAGAGCACTTTCTGAGACCGCTCCACGAGCCAATAAAAAATTTTCCAACTGTGATTCCATTATTTGTAACCTATCAAGTAGAAACAACACTTTAGATACAGCAAATTCAATCGATTACATTCGGGCGGGAGGTTTGTGTTGTAGGTATGTAAGTTACAACTGGGCGTTAAATTTATTTTTCTGGTGTGATTCTAATGTCCGCCGCATAGATTCAGTAATAACATAAGAAAATTGTGTCACTATTTATTTATGTTTCATTAAACTGCTCCGAGATTGAATTTTTCCACGATTATAATTCGTTCTCGTTATTGATTATACTTGCTACTAGATCGATTTGAAAGTAATGCACTAAAAGACACGATCACAAAAACAGGATAGGTACTAAATAATTTTGGTTTCAACAATGTTCTTGTTCTAAGTTCTAACCGAACAAGTAGGTACCAGACGAAAAGAGTACTGCTGAGTTGCTAGAATAGCTTAAAAATAAAGTCATCTTGATATATAGCCCGTCAGCGGTTTCGCTTGCAGTTAGTTGATATCGTACACCTAAGTTCTGGCACCGTACTTTTGCTACGCGGCCAGGAATTATTATTCCTTATACGAATCTGTATCTGGATGTAGGTACGACGATTTGAACGAAAATCCACTAGCCAAATTAGCTATGATAGTACAACTTAATTCCGTGTTTCTTAATTCCTATACAATTAATTTCGCGTTTGCAATCACGAAATTAGCTATGAAGTAATTAATTCCGTGTTTGCAAACACGAGATTAATTATAACGTAATTAATTCCGTGTTTGCAAACGCGGAATTAATTCCTATACAATTAATTTCGCGTTAGCAATCACAAAATTAACTATGACGTAGTAAATTCCGTGTTTGCAAACACGAAATTAATTATGACGTAATTAATTCCGTGTTTGCAAACGCAGAATTAATTCCTATACAATTCACTGCGCGTTAGCAATCACAAAATTAACTATGACGTAATTAATTCCGTGTTTGCAAACACGAAATTAATATCTTTATCGGAAAAAGAAACAAGTATGTCCCTTCTGCGCCTTCGTAATATTATGTTAATTGAATTAGATGTTATTTTTAACTTTTCTTTAAAAATGGTAGTTGTGGCTCTTTTTTCGTTCTTTTATCTCGAAATAATTTATTTGGGTGCTAAAAAACTCTTTAAAAAACAGCGTCTTTTGAAATGCTGTCATAAACTAACAAGTTTAACATTTGTTTTTGGTGTTGTTATCGATCTAACTAGTTATTTGTACTGAAATAAGAATAGTTGCTTGTTTCGATCATGAAACGCAATCAGGAAAATACTAGGGTCAGTGTGAACACTTCACGAAACAATTGGAATTACCTTTAGATTGTATAATGTATGTTTATATTTTTTCAGTTGGACATATTCAAATAGTGTTACTACATTTGCTATGAATTTTTTTCAGATAACGAATCCGACTCGAAAAGTGAGGTTGCTCTCCTGCTGTTGCCCTACACCGTAGCACTAATACCCTGCAGGAAAAAAGGGGAAAAAAGTTGGAGGCCATCACGAAGTGAGGTTCGAGACGGATTTATAACGCATATTCCAACATCCGGAGATGTGAGATTAGCCATTAATCAACGTAAAGAAAAATTGGCTAGTCTTGGCCGAACCTTTCAACCATTAGTGCTAGTAGTAGGCCAGTCAGTTTGTGAGTACGACCATTGCTTTGTGGTAGTAGATGATACCTTCTACTCTTTTAATACTTTGATCAAAGCAGTTGATACTGCCTTTAAAATGTTCCATGCCACTGGAGCATCATATCCCGATGAATCGGAAGATGTATGGCTGCTAGTACAGAGGTTATTTTACCGAATAACCACTAAGTACGACAGGTTAAACCAATCCGTATCTTCATTACTATCAGAATTTAACTTACTGGAGTAAAAATGTTCACCTGCTACTCATGTAAATGAGAGAATTTTTGAAACAGTCTCTCAACTTATAAAACGTGCTAGTGAGGGGAGGGATTTTCGTTGCGGAGTGCCCAGTTGCTATAGACACTTTTCAACCCATCTTTCTTTTAAAAGACATTTACTTAACTTGCATGGCAATCAACGTAATTCTTGTAACGTAGAAAATACCACATATACTGAAAATACTGTAGCGGGATGATCCCAATACAAACCAAGAGACTTTAGGTAATGAAATAAGCGTTAAAATTGATGATGCGTCTGTTGGTGATTTAAGTACCGATATTTTATCAATAGTTTTCATGCTTGACGAAAATCCCTCCATTGCACGAAATACTGTTCAGTTTTTTATTAACATATTGCACGATTTCGTTGCCATATCTAAAGAAAAATTAGAAGATCAAATAAACTTATTAATTACTCAAAGTGAAATACCTCAAGATATACGATTGAATATCACAAAGATATTGAATGAGTACGGTAATAGCCTACATTCTTTTAGTACCGAACACAAAAGATTGCAATACTTTACAAAAACTGGAACATATGTTGGGCCTAGAGAGGTCGTTGTAGGTCAACGCATGGAGCATAAAAAAATTCAATTAAGCTCTCGTTTAATACCAGTGAAGTGTACAATGCAAATTGTACCAATTAGACATGTTTTTGAAAAATTTTTTTCAATTTCATTTGTTATGCAGGAAACATTGCAGTACCTTAATCAACTTCGTTCATTTTCTGTACCAATAATAAATTTAGTTCAGAGCGCAGCATGGAAAGAAATGGAACACAAGAATAAAGGGGACCATTTAAATTTACCAATTGAAGGGGCAAGTGAATGAAGGGGTTATGTAACAAAAAAAAGTTTTTGAGAAAAATCGCTTTTTGTCAGCTGGTCTTGCATTTTTTAACAAAGAAAATTTATAGAAATATTTTTATATCATTTCTAGGAAAGGTTTGTCTGTCTTCTTTGAAAAATATTTGTTTTGTAATTTTTTCAAAATTAACAATTTTATTCAAAATTGTTTGCACATAACCCCTTCTTCCACAATAGATTATTGAAAAATTAAATTAAACACAATGCAACAGGTGTCAAGTCTTTTATTAAAATTCAAAAGAAAAATAGGTACGTCTAGAAAACAGTTTGTGTGTTGTCCCACTAATTGGTACGACGACGTCTTTGTTTTGAGGTTTCCACGTCTGCTCCAATTATAGCCTCATAAAATCCTCTATGTTCCTCCAAAATAAATGGCATCTGCTCACGAATGTTTGCGATTTTTTTTTCGGATATATTTCCGGTTTTTCCGAGAATCCTGTCACACTCTATGTTTGAAGGTGGTGAGTAATTTCCTGTTGGAGGATTTTTAAACAGGGAAACTTCCTTGAAAGGAGTGTATTCATCATACGATTCCTTATACAAATAACTTCCAAATTTTTCAACGCGGATCCATTTAATACCATCCCTAAATGGGACTTTTTCATTAAGCAAATTCTTTTTTTTGTTAACAAATCCCATTTTCGTTGCCAAGCTATCAACGTCACGAAAATACTGCGCCATATCGTTAACAACAGAATTTTTTGTACAAGCTGATCTAATTATTTGCCTGTATTGTTCTGGAGTATAAATTGTGCTGTGTTTCCTGAGAACTTTTTCTATTCGTCCAAAGTCTCTGTCCGAATCTAGGTATGTATGTCCTACCTCGGGGAATTTATGGTCAATCGTCTCAAAAATCCCTTTTAATATAAGTAAGTTGTAAAAGCATACAACTTGGAAATTTTTGTTTTGGCCAGCACATGAATCCGACCATACAGTAAGAGACTTCTTTGCTTAATGTTGTCGCACGTATGGACAAAATTCCATAAGCTGCTTATCACTTCTTGACTACCTCTACCGGCTACGTCTTCCGTCCAAGTTTGCATTACAGATTGATGTCCTTCACTAGTTACAACATGAATTCCCAAATTATAGAACCATACTTGCCTTAAGTAAAAGGCCTTTGATGTAGTGAGTTTTGGTAGCGGCATGGTTTGTTGTAGGTCAACAGTCAAGTAACATAGATTTTCATTTTTCAAAGCATTTTCTCTGTCCTTCATCATCAGTTGAAATCCTGACTCTACATTTTCCTTATGCTCTGCATCTGCCTTTTTGGAATCACATTTACTACATGTGTCACTTTTTGGGTGAGAGAAAGACAAATTAAATTTGGTGACGAAAATGTTGTTATAT